ACATAGAGTAGTAGATTGTCATCAGAAAGGGTTTGGAGGAAGAACTGATTCTGGAACTGGACAGTCTGGACCTGGACGTACTGTAGGACAGAGGACTATAGGCTCAAGAGCATATAATGAAAGATCAACAAACATGACGAATGATAGAGCTGTTAGTGATAGTTAGAGGGAGACCGTTGTACCACGACCTACTGCACCTACTCCAGTGATGCCACATGTATACAGTTTACAGCACTATGAAGATCAACAATGACTTGAAAGTTCTGCTGGTAAGATTATTTGACTAATTGATTGACTTGACATATCATGCATAGTGAATGACATGTGATTGAATGAACAGTATGACTGTATGTATGATTTTCGACGAGTTTTGATTCTGATTCGATTTGATTTGAGTTTTGATTGGACGGACTTATTTGGTGTCGATTTTGCAATTGGATCCTTAAGGGAAATGTCGAGGACGACATTTTTCTTAAGGTGGGTAGATTGTAAAACCCTTCAATTTTCATTTTTTTAGTGCTGTTAGTCCGTACGAACTGACTTTAGTACGGGACGAACTGAAGAAAATTATGAAAAATCTGTATGGTTTGTCTGTACGAACTTGTACGAACATGTACGAACCGTCGGGACAAAATTTGTCTAGAGAGCAAGTTGTCCAGGGACGAATACCCTTCGTTTGAAGACGATTCATCCTGAGGGAAAATCATCCCAGGACGAATACACTTCGTCCGATATGATCTGCATGTGTATATATTGGATTGAGATCTTTTTGTGAAGAGAGAGAAAGCTAGAGAGAGAAAGAGAAGGAAAGAGAATAGGAAGGCTTGATTTCAGAGGCCGCGGAGCGCTTTTCATCCGTCGCCGCTGTTAGATGAATTGTTTATCTCGCAGTAAGGAATCCAAATCCTATTTCTGATTTCGAAGATTTTGTGTTTTGGTATTTTTTTCCGTTTTGTGTTTTCGTTATCGAAAAACGTGCATATCTTTGTATTGACGGAACTTTTACCGCGTAACTTTTGGTATGTTATGAAAATGATGATTTTGTACGATTTGAGTATTTTCTGGAAAGTTTTCACCAGGTATTTTGAATTCTGTGGGATTTTTATCGAATAGAAAATTATCCGGGTGTTGAAAAATATTGATTCAGTACAAGTAAAGTTTTGAAACGTTGTTTTACAGGATTTTTAGTAATTTGGTAATTTTCTGGATCTATGCATTTTACAACGACTTATGTCAATTATACGATATTTTAAGGGGTTTTCTAAATTGAGCCAAATCATGTTTATTGGTTGCAATACATTGATGATAATGATGAATGTGGTTATATAATTGAAATTATTATGATATTATTGTGATACTACTGTGTGGGTGAAAGACAAGTAAGAATTGGTTGAACCGTTGGTTCGAGACTGATTGACCTGTACAGGATGGTGGGCCGACGGGCTTTCCTTTAAATACGGTTTGGTGTTATCCTCTACTGATCACGTGATTACTAAAGGGAGTTATAAGGAGATGATTACTGTGCCGACGGACAAAGAGTGACGGCTCTTTTCACTGAGCCAACGGATAAGATACAAGATATATGATACAAGATTGAAAAACACCATAATAGCCAGAGCTTTTACTTGTTGAGTATGTTGTGATTATGATTATTGATTACTGAAATACATGTGTTTAATCATTGTTCTTCTCGTTATTGTACGAATTTATCGTTACTTTACGACTTTACTATTAATGCATGATTTTATTATTATAGCATTACTGTTCATGTTACTGGATTGTTACTGATACTGATACAGGCACTAATACTACTGATTCACTTTATTGACATTATGCACGTGATATACTATGTAAGTGACATGTGATTCCCTAAACACGTGATATAGATAACTGAATTGCAAGTGTATATCTTGATATGATTCTACGACATTGATTGATTCGAACTGCAACAAACGATGTTATGATTTTATTTCATTGATTTGATCTTAACAGTCATGAACGATAGTATTGATTTGATATTTTATACCGACTGATATTATTGAACCGATAAATTCTTTTTATACGATTGATATTATTGACTGATTTGATTGATAATACCGATACAAAGATTTCTTTAACGATTTAACTGAAATTTTAGATATGAAGATTTGTCTACTGAATTGACTGGTGTTATTGATACGACTACTACTGTAGAGATTTGATGCACGTAATGATTCATGGAGCTTTACGAACGTTTATACCGTTTATTGATTCTTCCACGGATAGTAATAACTTCACACGTTCCTGTATTGATTCCAGTTATTGTACTGATTACTGCTTACGTATTGATTTTTGTTTATGCATTGACTCAATGATCATGTGTAAGTGACTGCTATGATATGACTGATTGACATGCATATTTTCATACCGTACTTTGATTTCAGTTGTAGGTATTTGGTGACCTACTGGGCTTTTTGAAGCTCATTATATGTGGCTAATATTTTCAGGTCAGGGCAAGGGAGCAGGAGATTGAGGTTGATCAGGAATCTTCAGGTTTTTGTCCTTTTTTTATAATGATTCTTTTTGTACTCAGGACATGATGGATTATATGTGATTAATATGTAGATCCTGAGTATTGTAAATGAACCTTTGGGAATGAATAGAAATATTTTCATGATGTTTTAAATTGTAGATTTTGTTAGACTGTTTATCACTCATTGATGACTATAGATAGCTCTGGTAGAATATTGACTTAAATGATTGACTGAATAATTCTTTTCAAGTTAGATCTTGGGGCGTCACAGAGAGAGAGAGGGATAGAGAGGAATGTTTTATCCATATTTTTTTATCCCCTCTGCACTACATAAGCGTTAGGGGGTACTTATTACACATATTTTTTATCCCTCTCACTACAAGCGCCACACCGGTTTTCCTCCCTACAATGCTATGTGAGCGCATAGGGGGTTTGCCGACTCGTCGCTAGCATTAAAGAAGGATTTTAGGCGATTGTCCGCCTCGTCATATGCGTCGCACTAGCTTTCCTCTCCACACCGCTACGTGAGCGCATAGGGGGTTTGCTAGTTCGGCGCCAACGTCCAGAGCGAAAATCTGAGTTTAGATTATATCTTGGAGACCGGCGGACTGATGGTGGAGGGCATAAAAACCGAGATAAGGGGGAGCGAACATCTTTTATTAATTATAATTAACATCAATTAAATATAATTAATTAATAAATTACTTTTAATTAATCATTTATAATTAACTATAATTAATTAAAAATAATTAAATAAAGTTTATTATAATTAATTAAGATAACAAGTTATAATTAATTTAAAAAAATTAATTATAACTTAATTGATATTAATTAATTCTAATAAAATATAAATAACTAATAATAATTAATGATAATTAACTTATAAATTATGATTAATTAATAATAATTTTAACTAATTATATTTAATTAATATAATTATAATTAAAAAATATATTATTTATATAATAATAAAAAAAGAAAAATCCCTTAGTTCGGCGGATTGACGGGATTTGGCCGAGAAGCGCGTGAGGTAGATAGTCACCTTCATAGCAAGCGAGTTCCCGTGCTTGCTTCCGATCAAATGCCGCAACTTCCGACCAAGCAGGAAGGAAAGTCGCTAAAGGGGCAGAGTTGACAAGCGCTAAGGAGCCGAAGAATCACGTGAAGGGAGAGAGGGAACCAACGAGCTCCCGTTTTGCCTTTGATCAAAAGGTCGGACTTCCTATCCGACGGGAAGGGACTCGTCGAAGGGGAAACAGAGTCGATCAACCACGAAGGAGTCGGAGTAGCGACAGGAAGAGGAGAGCTCGCGGGAGAGAGCGGGAGCGAGTGAGAGAGCTCAGGTGAGAGAAAGAGAGCCTGAGGCTTCGTTTCTTGCGGCCTTTTAACGACGCGATGTCGTGCGAGGAAACGACCTTGGTCGTGCGAGCGACATGTGAACTGCCTGCGACGTGGGGAGCAACGTGGGTTTTGGCAGAGTAGGTATGGCATTGATTTTGATTTTTTTTTTTATTTTTTTTGTTTTTCCACTCAGTACAGGTCAACAATCGGAAGCTACAGATCTAGCTCCCCCAGCTTTGATAGGTGCCCGAACGGATCAAGAAGCGGCTTCCCTCAGCCCGAATCTCCGCCAAACCTCGAGAGCCTCCAAATGAAAACTTCCTATCACCAAAACTCCCTCCACCATTACCAATCTCAACTCCCGAAACAATCCTCCCTCCGTCTCTTAAAATAGCCATAGCAGCCAGATTTCTCCCATCATCAGCGACCCACCTCTGCCGCTTCTCGTGGGATGATAGGAGGGTGTCCCACGATCACCCCCCACGATAACCCAAGAGGCTTCACGATCCAATCCCACCGGCGAGATCTCAAAATAGAGAGAGAGACTCTCTCTCTCTCTCTCTCTCTCTCTCTCTCCTTAGATGAGTGACTCTACTTTTAAAGACAAAATACAGAACGAGCATATACATGAAAAAGTTGGAGTTTCTCCAGTGGTAGATAAAATTAAAGAGTAGATATATTAGATTTAGTTTATGTTAAAAAAGGTATAAGCAGGCCTAAAAAGACTTGATTAAAAAAATAGAAATGACTTTTCTTTATTAGATTTAAATGAGAATTTAATTCTTAATTGAATAAAATGGAGAAAAAAGATTTATGTAGCCAACCCCATGTAGTGGGATTAAGGCTTGATATTATTGTTGTTGTATTGTGCCTTGACCTAATACTAATAATAGGAGGTCAGAGGATGAGCTAGGAACATTTGATTATTTGCTCGAGTCTTTGCTCTTTCTAGCGGTTTACTGAAATCTTAGGACTTTTCACTCCGTATTCTCTCTTTTATTTATATTTTTTAAGTCAATTTCATCAATAAAGTTCTAGTATTTCCCAAGTATAAATTTAAATCCATCAATAGCCAAATAAAAATGTTATAGTTGCATGTGAAGTTAAAAAAAGAGTCGTGAAACCCATAAGCAAATAGAAATAACTATTGGCATTAAGAATACTCAACCATTAAGGAATGACGGTGCCATAATGCATGGAAACAAGAACACGTAGGGACAAAAACATAAATATGGCACATATGGGACTCAATATTTATTTAAATATATGACAATTATGAGTTGGATGATATATTCTTGCACCCAAGACAAATACTATGCATAGGTTTGCATCTCATAATTCAAATTTCAGCCAGGCTGAAATCACTAATAATAAAAAAATTCATGTGGTCATAACACATGAACGATCACAACAAAATAGCGTGCTGAAGTTCATGATTATAGTGATGAACGCCCAACAGATTCCAGAACACGGTATTACTGCCTTCACAATTACATAGCATCCATCAGGTACTCGCTTATATATGAAATTTTGATGTAAACATGAGGAAGCAATAGAGTGGGAAAGAGGTTAAAGTTAATAATATTTATTGAAAGTAACTTTGTGAGTTAAAAAGAGTAACATATCAGAAGAATTTACCATTAGGAGAGTGAGAATTGTTTCGATATATTCCTTGGACTCAATGTCATGTACAAACCCTGAAAAATTAAAAAAGTTACTAAAACGGTAAGGTAGTCCCATAAATTTCATTACTGATGGACTCATTCTCGGAACTTATAATGCCTGAACAAAATGCAATGATTAAAAAGGTTTTTTATTTATCTAACTTCCCTGAGAATTCAGGTTAATGCAAAAAGAATTATTGAAGATTAAAGATATTATAAAACTAATGAAAAAGGTCAAGAGTTTTGCAAACTAGCGTTAAATTTTACAACAAACAAAAGAAATATTAAAAAAAAAAAAGTAGTAAGCACTATTGCATGGTTGTATAAGAAATATATCATTAGGTATCCTTGTAGGAGAAATCAGGAAGCGATCCCTTGTATCAACTAAAAAATGAATTAATTTAATAAATAACTATATATTGCAAAAAGACATTCATCAGTAGACAACTAGCAAGAGTTAAGACTTTATTCTTTAATGGTAATGAATGAATGCAAGAACATAGAGATATTTAAGCAATTAAATTTAAAAAGTGCAGGAAATGCTTGTAATAATGCCCAAAAAAACTTACGTTTGTTGTATGAATGGTTGCTCCAGTAGTCATGCCGATCTTCTGATCAGGAACCAGCTCGAAATTCAAATTTTGCAGGAAAATTGAAAGAGCAATAACGGCTTCTAACAAAGCAAACTGGTCGCCAACACATTTACGTGGTCCCCCACTGAATGGTATGAATCTATTGAAATGGTTATCCACCATTAGAATGTGTTTATGCACAACAAAGATCTCCAAGTGATGAAATTATATTGAGGCAATTACATACATAATAACTAAAATTTGACTATTCACAAAACTTATACCTTTTTTACATCTTTTTTTTTTTCAAATTATCACCTAAATATCTAAATTCACAACAGAGCCTACAACAACAACAACAACATCAAGCCTTTATCCCACTACGTGGGGTCGGCTACATGAATCCTTTTTCTCCATTGTGTCATATTAAAAGCCAAATTCTCGTTTAAATCTAATAAAGAAAGGTCATTCCTAATATTTTCTAACCAAGTCTTTTTAGGTCTACCCCTACCTTTCTTAACATAAGTCAAATCTAATACCTCTACTCTCCTAACCGGATCATCGGAAGGCCGCCGTTTTATGTGACCAAACCATCTAAGGCGACTCTCACTAATCTTATCTTCTACTGGAGCTACTCCAACCTTTTCACGTATATGCTCATTTCGTATCCTATCTCTAAGGGTAAAGCCACTCATCCACCTGAGCATTCTCATCTCTGCCACACTTAACTTAGTATTATGCTTCTCTATCTTTTAATGGTCAACATTCAGCACCATAAAGCATTGCAGGCCTCACTACCATCTTATAGAATTTTCCCTTAAGTTTGAGGGGTACATTTCTATCACATAACAAGCCCGATGCATTCCCCCACTTCAACCACCCAACTTGAATTCTGTTGATAATATCCGCATCTATTTCACCATCACTCTGAACAATAGATCCAAGATATCTAAAACGTGTACTCTTATTAATGACTTGATCGCCCAAAGTCACAATCCCCTCACTAGGTCTATTACTACCAAAATTACACTCCATATATTCCGTTTTAGATCTACTCAAGCGAAAACCTTTAGACTCTAAGGTTGACCTCCATAATTCAAGTTTACCTTCAACTCCCTCTCTAGTCTTATCAACAAGAAGAATATCATCAGCAAAAAGCATACACCAAGGTACATCCTCTTGCAAATGTCTAGTGAGAACATCCATGACTAAAGCAAAAAGATATGGGCTTAAGGCTGATCCTTGATGTAACCCAACCGAAATAGGGAAATACTTGGTCAATCCACCTTGTGTTTGAACACAAGTAATAGCTCCTGCATACATATCTTTAATGATTTGAATATAAGCATTATTGACTTTTTTCTTTTTAAGAACTCTCCATAGCACTTCTCTTGGAACTTTATCATATGCTTTTTCTAAATCAATAAATATCATATGTAGATCCTCCTTATTTTCTCTATATTTCTCCATCAAACTTCTTAATAAATGTATGGCTTCCATAGTCGACCTACCCGGCATGAATCCAAATTGATTTTGAGAAACATTAGTATCACGCCGCAACCTATGGTCCATAACTTGCTCCCAAAGTTTTAAAGTATGACACATTAACTTAATACTTCTATAATTCGCACAATCTTGTCATCACCTTTATTTTTAAAAATATGAATTAACACGCTCATTCTCCACTCATTTGGCATCTTTTTAGTCTTCAAAATAGTATTAAAAAGTTTAGTAAGCCATGAAATTCCTTCATCTCCTAAGCATTTCCACACCTCTATTGGAATATCATCAGGTCCAACAGCTTTTCCATCCTTCATTTTCTTTAAAGCCTCTCTAACTTCAGTTTTACTAATACGCCGATAAAAACAGAAATCTTTATTTTCATTTAGGGTGCTAAGGTCATTATAGTCAATCTTATTTTCACAATCTTCATTAAAAAGTTTAACAAAATATCTCATCCATCTTTGTTGAATATCATCTTCTAAGAAAAGTATTTTTTGATCTTCATCTTTAATACACTTCACTTGAACTAAATCCTTACTACTCCTATCTCTTTGTTTGGCTAACTTATACATATATCTTTTTCCCTCTTTAGTATCTAATCTATTATATAAATTACTAAAAGCTAATGTCTTTGCATCGCATATTGCTTTCTTAGCATCCCTACGAGCTACTTTATATATTTCCCAATTATCAGAATTTTTAAAATTAAACTAATTTTTATAACAAAGCTTCTTATTTTTAATCTTTTCTTGCACATTAGGATTCCACCACCAACTACTTTTACTATTAGGAGCTTTTCCCTTTGATACTCTAAGGATATCTTTTGCAATATTCTTAAATTCACAAGAGCCTCAACTTTATTTTTTGCTTCGGTCAATATTCTGACAATGTGATTACGACACACACAAATACATGGGTATAATACTTTACAAAATGACATGGATATTAGTTTTGTAAATATGCATGCTTTAGGCATCGTTTATGTAATCCCCCCAATCATATTCAAGTGCAGCACGTAAAAATACTTTAATCAAAAAGAAAACGACGGGAAAAAAAATTATTGGGGGTAAGGGGGGCCAAATTACAACACCTGAAATTAGTGTTCGTCTCATTTGGTACGGGTCCCTCCAAATCAAATCTTTCGGGCATAAAATCTTCTGCTCCATCCCAAACCTTAGAGCAAATAAAGAAGTTATAACCACCAAAAAATAAATATTTTCAGAAAGAATATAGCAAAATGCTCATAAAACGCTTAATCTGCTATGTAACCTACGCAAAAAATGTTTGCCATATCAATTCAAATAAGATGACCTTGAACAAGAATCTTTTTCTAGTCAAAGTGATTAGAATGTTGTACCTGAGGAGATCGATGAATATTGTAAACTGAAATCATTATATCTTGACCAACATTAATCTTAAAATTTCCCGGAAGAACATCAGCAACTAGAGCCCTCCTTATCAAAACCTACAGAAGTTGGAGCATGTTAGTCATTAAAATCAATGAGCCAGTTACAACTATAAAAAAGTGATTCAGCATACAGGTGGGTGTGGATAAAGGCGCATTGACTCATGTATGCAACGCGTTAAATACTTCAATTCCTTGACATCATCATATGTAGGAAACTTTCCTCCTAGAACATTATCAACCTCCTCTTGTGCCTTTGCTAGAGCAGATGAATCCTTCAAAATGCAAAAGATGATTTGCAAGTATATTTCAAAATAACTCGTAGCAAGTACTCTTCATATTCATAAGCAATTATGTGTTCTAATTTTTTGTTTCATTAATTGAATCAGATATTCATGATATGCAGGAGATTTTAATTTAAAGAATACTGGAACCCAACCTTCACTCTAATTAAATCACTAACATAGGGTTAATAGAGAATGAAGATCGTGAAAGTTGGTGATGACCTCGATGAGTATATGATTTGAACTTATAAACGAATCATGCATGAGAAACTAAAAGGTAAATAGGCACAAGAAAGCATACAGAACTAATTACTACTAAAAAGTTAATAAGTTTAGTTACACAGTAAAAACTGCAGAACGAATCACCCAAAAAAGGATAACCTCAACACTCCAACATCACTTCATTATAATCTCAACACTAATGGTCAAGATCTTAATAAACAATACTTAGGAATTTTCAGATTACTTGTGAAGGAGATTTACATCAAAGAAAGACCTTACGGGCATAGACTCCTGTAAAACCCAGCTTTTTAAGCAAAATATCAAAATTTTATGTACTTGCCCCCAGATGTTTATTGTTAGCGTTTTAATGTTACTTTAAAATTACCTAAGAACTCAAGTCTCATTAAATTTCTGTGGATTTCAGTAAATCTATTAAAATTGTTAAGAAGATTCTTATGGATTTCTGTGGATGGACGGGGCAAAGAATGAATTTTACAAAAGTCTTGTATTCTTTTTGGATTATCTGTGAAGAGAAGGTTGAAGAAGAAAATTTGCAAAACTATGGAATTTAGAGAAGTGAAGGAATTCAGTTATTTGGGAATAAAGGTGGCGTTAAGAAGGATTTCTAAATATGATTATCAATTTCTCATTGATAAAACGATGAGTATGCTTGGAATTTGGGGAGGTAAACACATCTCTCTTGCTGGTAGAATGTCTTTGGTAAAAGTCTGTGCTTTTATCATATCCTACTTTTCACTCTACAAACTCTTTGGTTCCCAAACATGTGCTGTTTGAAATTGACAAACTTTGCAAAGGTTATATATGGGAAAAATGTGATGGTAATGCAGGTCTTCACTATGTTAATTGGGATATGTTATGCAAACCGAGAAGATGGGGAGGTATGGACATTAATTCTTGCTCTAATAAAGCCGGGCCTTTGAGAGCTAAGCTTGCATGGAGATGCATTCAAGAGAAAGAGTCTTTACTTCATAAAGTTTTATTTCCAAAATATGGAAGCAATCTGGAAATGAAATCTGGTAAAAAGAATGTCTCGGTTTCATGGAAAATAATTTGCAATGGGTTCAAATATTTGAAGCCAATTGTTAGATGGATAGTTGGGGATGGTAAAGCAATTAATGTTTATGAAGATATTTGGGTTTTGGATAAAAGTTTTCAGCTTTGGCCTACTTTTATCAAACCTATGGAAAGTAAAAAGTTACGGGTGGAGAATTTTTTGAATAATGGAGTTTGGGACATCCAAAATCTGAAAGAATACTTTGGAGAAGATTTAATCAAGCTGATTTTGACTACTGTACAATGCAATGGCAAAGACAAATTAGAACTTATTTACAAGCTCTCAGGGAAAACTTTATTTGCGTTGGCTTCTGAAGCTTTGGATGATGAAAAAACAGAGAATGTTAATTGGACACGGTTTGATAAAATCAAGCTCAATCCGAGGGTGAAGGTTTTCTGGTGGAGACTAATCAACAATGCAATTCCTAATTATAATTTTCTTTGCTTTAGAAGATTGCAAGGTGATGATAAATGTCCTAGAGGTTGTGATGAAGTGGAGAGCAATGACCATATTATTTTCCGGTGTAAGAAGATTAAAGAAGTTATGGCTGTTTTAAACAAATGGGGATTTGGTATTCCAGATTTTTCTTCTATGGAAGCTTGTTGCTTATGGTTGGATTCACAAAATTCTTGGTTGAAAATTCTGTTTTGTAATTATATATTCCAATCTTGGAAGGCTAGGAATATTCATGTTCATGAAGGGAGAAAAATCAGTGCAGTAATGATTGCTTCTCAAGCCGTTTGTAATTCAGTAGTTTTTAACAATCTTAGCTGCGCAAATTCAAGTATAGAGAGTGCTAATCAACCACTTTGGTTGCTAAACTCTTGGCATTCTCCTCCACTTGATTGGATTAAAGTTAATATAGATGTTGCTCTTCACAATTCTTACAAGGCTGGAGTAGGAGGGGTCTTTAGAGATCATCATGGGAGATTTTTATTGGCTTTCGGAAAGCCTCTTGTTCATTGGGATACATCAGCCATTGAACTACAAGCTATCCTTACTCTTAAGTTAGTTATCAAAGATTGGATGCTAAACTACAAAGGACTTATCATTGAAGGAGACAACATAAATGTGATCAACTTCATCAAGGTTTTGGTGAATAAGGGAGGTAATGATGATATTGACATCTCTTTTATTAAAAGTTTTAATTATGTCATTTTTAAACATGTTCATAGGGAAAGTAATAAGTTAGCGGATCTTTGTGCTAACTTTGCTTGCTTTAGCTCTTTTTTGTGGAATGATGTGAGTTCGAATGATGTCCCTCATTCTTTCATCAATTTGTTGGAGGAGTCGGATGCTTGTAGATTGTAGTATGTTCTTTTTTTATTTTCAATAAAGCTTTCTTGCTTTGTCTTCAAAAAAAAAAAGAACTCAAGTCTCATGGTTTCTATGCCAATTGAAAGCCTAAGATATTTATTGTAGCTTTTTAATGTTATTTTAAATTATTGTAAGAACTCAAGTCTTATGGTTTCTACTCCAACTTAAAATCTCGTTGGTCATAACTTAATGAAAGGATGCACCTATAAAAAAATGCAAACGGCCATATAGTTTCTCTAATGTTTATGGTAAAGGATGATTCCTCTTATAGATCAACAAATAACACATACTACTAGTGAAAATAATACAAAGCCGATAATGTTTTAATTGTACGATAATAAAAAAAAGCAATAAACTACAAAAATAAACAAATACTAACTTAATTAACAAAGATAAGGTGTCCTTGATTGATATTATTAGTCTTTGCTTCTTAATTGCCATCATATTTCCAGCATGAATATAACACCATTTATTTTCTAGTTTTTGCTTGATCTTTCATGGAAGCCTTAAATTTCAATAGATTTCTGTTATAAAAAACATAATAGAAGAATAATATATATTTCTTATTTTTTAAGATAGACAGGGTATACACTTCAGAACAGGCGCCCTCCTAGAATAGATAGACAATAAGATAATTATGTAACATCACAATCAACCACAAAAGGAGAAAAGAAATAAGAAAAAATTGCCTAATCAATTTTATAATAAGGAATGACATGGGCTAGCAGACAACAACAGTGAAAGGTGTGATTGTAGGGAGGAGAGTAGTTGGCGGATTGCCGAAAGGAGGCTTGTAACCTTGTGAAGGACTATAACAAGCCGGCAGAAAGCTCTTAGTAGGTAGGAAGGCAATAATATAGCAGGAGTTGGTGCATGTGTCACTGTTGATAGCTATTAACAACTGTGCACTTGACTTGATTGTTGGGAGAGCTATGACCTAGTGGTGGTTACGAGCTGAAGGCGGGAGGGCTATTCGGGTGATTGCAGGACTAGAAATTGGGGCATTTATTTGGGAAGTTTCACAATCTCCCTTAAGAAAGAAATATAAGTTGATCATTTTTAACTTGAGAGTAAGGTTATCAAATTGTAATTGAATAAGAGCTTTAGTAAGAATATCAAAAGTTACAAGTTTTGTTAGCAGTTGGACGATTCGTTATTCTTTTTTTAACTTTACAAAGTATTTATTAGCATCATCATGCATAGTTAAATCATGATGGACATGATTTGTAGTAATACTAATAATAGCTTGATTGTTATACCTCATTATCATAGTCATGTGAAAGGAGTTTTTAAATATTTGAGATGACGCTTAAACTACATACCTTCATAAATTTTATCCGTCAAAACCCTGATTTTTTACTTCAGCACTGCTTTGAGTTACGATGGACTGCCGGACTATTTTTTGCCATCTCCACAAAACTAAATTTCTCATTTGTAGATCTACAATTTGTTATAGATATAGCCCAATCAGCATTAATGAAGTTGTTTATACCCTTGTTAGTCTCCATCATGATGCTCTTTTATGGGGTTATTTATAAATTAAATACAACATTGTTTAGAGAACAAATATTAGCACTGGTGTGGGATAGATAGATAAAATTTTTCTACTAACATCCAGTGTCTTCCTTTGTTAACCGGGGTTAAATCTTCCTTAGCCCCGACTTTGTTTCACAGATTCATTGCTCTACTTATTTACACAAAAGCATTCCCTTTTTCTTTAGTAAGTCTAAGATATATTTCTATTGTGCGACGTACATCCCCTTTTTTATCTTTGTTGTTTTCATGAGTAGGAAATAGTTTAATAAACTACGATCCTTGATTTCAAATTTTCTAGTTAGAATACTTTTCTGCTTATTTATCTTATTTTCATTATTTCTAATCAAGATGTAGTAAACATTTATGAATAGGATAAAAATTTTACCTTCAAATAATTTCTTGGCAGTACAGTGTGTTCAGATTGACCTTGAGAGAGGCATGCCTTTTAATCACCATAGTGACTTTATCGAACAAATCTCTTGGTGGTTATTTAAAGTCATATAGAGATTTTTAAGTGTGCAGACTTGATTTGTATGGATCTCTTATTTTCAAATATAGGACATATTGTCGTATGGATCTCATCTTTTAAATTAACATTTAGATATTTTATGTCTAATTGGAGTAAATAATCCAAATTAGCAGTAAGAGAAAAACTACATGGATAGTGCCCATCTATGATGCAGTGACACTTCTCCTCAAAAAGGCAGTGTCTAGCACATATTGGACACACCTCCACATGTGTTGGACATAACAAAGATATGCCTGATTAAAAAAATATTAATAATAAAATGGCCACACATGTCCAAAATAATTTATGACATTTATAAAATATAATTTTATTATATCTCAATTTTTTATTTAATAAAAAAAAAACATCAAACATTTATCCCGCTCCATGGGATCGGCTATATGAAGCCTTTTTCTCTATTATGTCTTGTTAAGAGTCAAATTCTCATTTAAATCTAATAAAAAAGGTCATTTCTAATATTTTATAATCAAATCTTTTTAGGTCTACCTCTAACTTTTTTAATATAAGCTGAATATAATACATCTACTCTCCAAACCAGGTCATCGGAAGGCTACCGTTTTATGTGACCAAACCATCTAAGGTTACTCTAACTAATCTTATCTACCACTGGGGCCACTCCAATCGTTTCACTTATATGCTCGTTTAGTATCCTATCTCTAAGAGTGAAGTCACTCATCCACCTGAGCATCCTCATCTCTGCAACACTTAACTTAATATTATGCTTCTATTTTAATGAACAACATTCTACACCATAAAATATTGTAGATCTCACCACCATCTTATAGAATATTCCCTTTAGTTTGATGGGTACTATTCTATCACACAATAAGTCTGATGCATTCCTCCACTTCAACCATACAACATTAATTCTATTAACAATATCCCCATCTATTTCACCAGCACCTAAACAATAAACAGATCTCTTGATAATTAGTTTCGTAGGATAGAGTAAATTGTTTTGCAATTACTCTTATTCTGTATTGGTGAAAACTTACATCATCTTTATATTTGTCAATAAAGATCCATTTACCTCAAACAAGTTTCATCCTTTTGGAAAGATTTTAAAGATTCTATGTACAATTTCTTTCAAGTACTTAAATTTATTCATGAAAAGTACTTTTAAGGCTTCTCAAATATTAATTGGAATTTTATGCTTGGAAGTCTCTAATTGTAAATGAATAGAACTCAAAAGATAGTTTATAATAGAAATATAATGACTTATCAAGTTATTTGAGCAAGTTCTTGTGCTCTTCTTACGAGCATAAAAAGAAATGTTTAGAAGATTCACATAATTAATATTACATTGTCCCTATGAAATGGTGTTAGGACCATTGTTTAAAATTGCGCAATATGAGGCTCGCCTTGAGGCCCGCCTCAGCACAATTTCAGTGAAAAACGCCTCGAGGCTTATGCCTCAAACTTTTTTTATGAGGCTTACGCCTCATCTTGGCTGAGGCCCGCCTTGAGGCGCACCTCGCCTAGCTGGCATGAGGCATACGCCTCGAGCTATTTATGTATGTTTTTATTTAAAACTTAGCTAAATTCCATGCAAAAGACCAAAAGTAATCATGCCCCCTTGCACTCCAAAGCCGCATTAAATTCCTCTCAACTACCTCGACCTCCATCCCACCGCCTTCGTCGTAGCCAGCACCGTCATAGCCTCTGCCGGGGATCACTTGAAATCCGCATACCGCCACCATGTCCTATAAAAATTTAAGTATTCCTCTTATTTTATGTTGATGAAAAATATTTATGAAAGAGGAAGATGGTTGAAATAAATAAAGAAGTAGATTGGTAGGTATTGGACACTACATGATGAGGCAAATGAGGGCCAATTTGTTATGACGACTCAAATAAAAATTCCCTTAGTAATGATAGTACAAATGATTTCTGATTTGTTGTCAATTATTTTAACTTTATTAGTAATTAAATGTAGATGAGTAAGGAACTGAAATAGAAAACATTTAGAGCTAAACTTGATGTTATATGATACGTTTATGCAATTCATATATTTTATGTAGTTTTTTTCATGTGATATTTGAATTTCAATTCTATTTCATATAATTTATTACTTATCACGTTACATTTTGTGTAATTTTTTGTTTCATATGTATATAAATTTGTTACTTTATATTTCAATTGAAAGTTAATATACCATTCATAGCAATTATTTGGGTATTATTTGGGCATTATATAAAAATAAAAAACTTTTATTTTTTACTTTCAATTTTTAGATTTTGAGGCTTACGCTTCAAAACGCCTTGAGGCTTACGCCTCGCCTCATGAATGAAAAACGCCTCAATACTCAATTAAGCAATTTTAAACCTTGGTTAGGACTTAGTTATACATTGAGGTTCATTCAGAAGAAATACTTTATTCTACCTTGGTTGAATTTCTCTATCATCTAGGATAGCCAACCCATAATATCTTGCTCATATATGATCTTAGAAGCTTTCTAGATAGTCAAAAGAAAAAGATTTAGATTGGTGAGACAGATGTGGGTTAGATAGAGGTGTAGGTTGAGATACCAATAAAGATGGATTGAGATTATCGAAGAACTCAGATTCATTAAGTGAGTTGATGCTCCCCCCTTAAAGGGATAATATTTTTTAGTACTAGGAGCATAACATTTGTATCATTGTTGGAGATGAGAATAGCTAATAAAACTGTATAATCATTTTAGTCTAATTTGCTTCTTTGATGATGTGGAATATGCATGTAAGCAGAAAAAGTAGAATATCTTGAGAGATACAGTGGAGATAAGTCTACTTGTCGGATAGACTTGGGTGAAAGTTTGATAAGGTTATGAATTTTAAAATTCTTGATGGTATATAATTAAAAACATGTATTAATAAGGATAGTCTCTCTCGGTAATATTTTGGAGCATTGTTAGTGATTATAACTAATTTCAACAACTAAAAAATGTCTAAGCTGCTATCACATTTTGTTCAGTATAGATACATAAGTTTTGGTAAACAATTCCTTGTTGGAGGAGATATTTTCCAAAAATAGAGGGAAAAAATTCATTCCCATTCTCAATGCTAAAGACTTCAATTTGGGAATTGAATTGAATCTCTATAAAAGAATGAAATCTTAAAAAAAAGAAATTAGTTTCAATTAAAATCTCATTTTCAAGTTTAATAGGTTGATCATTAAGAGGCATTAGACTACTTCAATTAACAATCAAGCTACTCAACATTGTTGCTCGTCAATAGAATTGATAAGGCTTGTCTGGTAAGCTAACGAGGTGAGCTAAAATAGCTAAAATTTTAAATGTGCTAAGTTTAAACACTACTATGAATACTCAAATTGAGCTCGGATCTAACTAAGGTTTTGGCAAACAAGCTCAAGCTTAGCAACCCTCCATTTGGCTTGGCTTGGATCATTTACAACCATAATTTAAAAAAAAAAAAACTTTAATGGAAGGATGAGGCGTTCTTAGAAATTTAAAAGGATGTAGAAGATAAAAGAAGTGTGGAAGAAGAAAAATAGAGAAGGATGGAAGATAGAGACATCTCCTATAACATTTTAAAAAACATGAGAGTAGAATAGAACATTTGACTATTTTCAAAGGAAAGGATACATCATTTATAGAATAGAAAGACAACAAGATAATTATATGAGACCACATCATAACAAAAAAAGGAGGGAAAAAAAGAAAGAAATTTGCCTAATCATTTTTATAGTAAGGTTATGGCAGTAATGCAAAAAATAAAACAATTCCCATTAGGAACAGGGGCTGGTGGCTAGCGGTAATGGAAAGCATGACTACAGGGAGAAGACTAACTGGCGGACTGACAATAGTTGGCCTGTAGCCTTTTGGAAGGCTGGAGCAGGCTAGCCAAAAGCTAGCACTAACTAGGAAGGCAGTAACCTAGTGGGAGATGGCGCAGCAGGTACTAGCTGGGCTCCTAACTTGTTGGGAGAGAGGTGACCTGACGGTGGTTGTAAAGTGATTGCAGGAGTAGAAATTGGGTAATTTATTTCGGGATTTTCACAATTTCTATGTAAAACAAATTTGAATTATAAAAACATGCAAACTCCAGACCTACCATCTTATTGTGATGATGTAGCAAAATGTCCTGGAACACTAGACCACATTTAATCATCACTTGCTATCCTCTGCCTTAATTCCCTAGAAGTATCTTGTAATATCTATACTAGGTTGAATGGCCCGCCTTAATAAAATGCAATCCTGATGATGCCATCTTAAGTGATATGTAATCTATTGCAAGTGCACGTAATCTATGTTCTTCACCATATCAACAACTATATATGGATATTTTTTTGTTTATTAAATCAAGCGAATTCTGTATCCTTTGGACATAAGATGAAGAAAGACAAGCACATAAAAATGTGAAGCACACAAAAATGGTTAAAGATATGCCAATATTGACTAAAAAAGCATTCACAGTGATATAACGGAAACATAAATCGTCATACCTTACTTAGAAGATAAAGAGTCCATGTCAATACTGAACCGGTGGTTTCATGGCCAGCAACCAACATAGATAATAGGTCATCTCGTAGCTGGACACTAGAAACCTGAAAAATGAAATAGTAAAAAATTAAGTGTAAAATCAAGGAAAAGAATATAGCCAAATGAGCCAATATTTGGCTATCCCTAGTTTATTGATTCGTAAAAATGGTTGTAGTGCCTTAAGATGTTAATAATTAGAAAATGCTATAAAATTCTCTATTATGTTTTCATATTTCTCAAGGCAACCTAGACCTGTGCTTAAAAAAATTGCTAACAGATGAAGTATCATAATAATACCGCGAGAACAAAAATTAAGCATGTTATTTGCCGATGAAGTTAAACATCTGATACAGGTAATAGCAGATATAAGACACAATTTCAGATAAAAAAAATGAAAAATCATATCTTCAAAGGAGTTTAATGACCTCATCACGTGTAGCAAGTAGAAAACGGAGAATGCTAGGATCTGAATCATTGACATAATCCTCCCCATTAATCTGTTCACCTTCAGCGTCTACAATCTCTTTGCACTTTGCAATGAGTTCCTCAACAGTCTCTCTAATTATGGTAACAGCTTTTTCTGCTTTTATTTGCCGTGGAATTATCTTGCAAAGAAGTTCTACCTGATACAGTCAAATTGAACTTCCTCTATTAGTGAGGTTTGAAGAGGATTTGCCTTCGTGTGGAAAAAGAGAGGATTCTCCAAGAAAACCAAGTAGCACAGATTCATCTTCAACCTTCTAGAGAGCAGAAACAAAACAAACTTCCTCGAAAGGTTAATTAAAGAACAAATTCCATAAGAGAATACACATTATAGGAAGAGGAACAGAACAATGAAAACTATTCAGCTTTATCAACCGTTTTGTTAAAAATATGTCCTGAACTAACTGCTAAAGTCTCATAATTTAAACAGCAGAAGAACATTAAGGCTTCGATTGGGATAGTTTTCTTATTACTTTCTAAAGTAGCTTTTCAATAAAACTTTCTAATTCAAAAAAAAAAAAATTGTTCTAAAAGCTGTTTTAAAAAATAGGAAGAAAACTATCCTAAATGAAGCTTCAAACAGAAATTTAGAGAACAGAGCAAGACAGCTAGAACTTGAAGCATATAAAAGGAACTGTAGTAATAACATGCCTTCCAGTATGGAAAAATGTCAGTGGACCTAGCCTCTGCCTCTTTCAGTGCAGTGTAAACTGCATCAATAACTGGACTGTCAGAAGTTAGAGAATCAAAATTGTAGTTAAACAAGGATAAACCTATTACGTCCAGGGTCAATTGAGAAAATTTCTCTTCTATATTCACAGAAGCACCATTTATGGCATATGGCCTGAGCTTTTCCACCAATCTCAAAGCACATCTACAGAACACTTTATTAACCATCTCAGACAAAAATTTTCTATGAAGGGATGGTAAAACTGCTCTGCGCCGAACCTGCAGCAAACAAAGTAATGCTCATTCTATGGTAAATAATTCTCAAACCAATACTGATAAGGTTATGAAATGTTCACAATGACTGCATTCAAATGTTGAGATTGGAACCAAGAAAATATTAAAATTCAGTGTGCAGCAGTTTATGTTATTAAACTGCTTAAATGAAAAAAGATTTTTGAATTAGCCTGTGCAAGATCCTTTTGTTAAAGCACATTCAATACATAGCATAAGTTGTAAATAACATTTTGAACAATTGAGTTTGAATATGGAGGCAAACTGAGATGTCGTGTATAAGATCATGGTAAAAACGTTATTGGATGTTCCCTCATCTTTTTTGAACAAGTGAGTTCCAATATGGAGATAAATTGAGATGTCGCACATCATGACATGCAACAACTACATCAGGTGTTGCTTATTGTACTAGTCATGAAAAGGATGCTCGTCATTTCTATCATGCTAGTTTTGTTGTTGTTTTTTTTTTTTTTTTTTTTTTTTTTTTTGGAGGGGAGTCATGGAGGGTGCATACTAACTTTGAAGCAATTTTCAAGCCAAGCCATGCTGTCAATTAGGGACTACCCAACTAACATGAGTTGTCAATCATGTTCATCAATAGAGGGGACTTAAATCCCCTCTTTTAAGCAAAAGGACCGACTCTACTTAGAACAAACATTGGGCACTCCTATTAGAGGTGAATACCGAAATATGCATCTCGATATGGGCTCAAATCTCAAGGGAAGCATAGTCTTGGATTTTTTTGTGACTCCAATAAGCATGTTTTTTTTTTTTTTTTTTTTACAAATATTGGTGATGTATGATTAAATTACATATCTAGATAAAGGTGCAAAAGAATCCCGTAATCCAATAACAAGACTACCCAACACCATTCTTAGGAATCCCATAAACCCCTATGAACTAAAGGCAACAAAAAAGACTCCCCTTGTGGAGACATCTCAAGCACCATTGCTTTATAAAGGTAATGATATAGTTTTGACATGTGTGAAGATAAAATAAGCAAAGCAAAAGTCCAATTAGACAATAGTTGAAGAGGGTTAAACTCTAGCATAGTTTTATAAAGACATTGACTAAGAAGTCTTTGGAGTAGTTATGATTTGAGAATGTATGACCAAAGCTATAACTTCAATAAGATTTCTTATTCCTTGGAACGATTGTGATCATAGAGGATATCACTCAAACAAAATTGCTAATAGAATTTTTTGTCTTTGAAGCAACTATGGTTGAATTTTCTAGAGAGAGAGAAGATCCAGCGATTTTCTAGAGAGAAAGTTCGTCTGTTTGAATTTTCGCGGGCAATTTCTGGAGGCGGGTTTGAAGATCGTTGATCGGAGGGAGGTTTTCCGGCCTTCTTCCGGCGTTGCTATGGCGTCTGGACGATCGACTGGTTCTGATCGTGTGGTGAATAAGGGTGTTGTGATTAAGGAGGGATTTCGGTCTTTGCCTCGTCAAGAATTGAATCATGAAGGTAAAGGTAAGAAACCCATAATTGAGCGTGATAATGGTGGAATTGTTATAAATTCTAGACCGCAATTGGCTTCTGAGAATCTGAATATGGAGACGTCTTCGTCGGCGGGATTGGTTTTGAAAGTTAACAAGTCATTGTGTACCAAGAAGATTGTATCGGGTCGGAATTTAATATCTGATGTTGAGAATCTGGATCAAGAAGTTCCCATTGATGTTGATTCTGTACAGGAATGTGGTAATAAGGTTGGAAATGGTGAAATTAGAAATCTGAAGGAAGAATTTGTGGAAGCTTGGAAGAAACCACAGCATATCAGGCTTTCTTTCAATAATGACTCAGTTGAAATGTCGGATGATGGAATTGCAGTCAAGTTAAATGCGGAAAAGGAGGTTATAAATTCCAATGTTCTAAAGTTTTTGCTGGTTGTTAAAGTTCTGGGAAATAAGATTTCATTTCCTATGTGTAGTGTTGAATTGAGAAGACAGTGAAACAAATTTGGTAATTTCCATATGACGTCGTTGGGCATGAACTGGATTCTTTGCTCTTTCAAAAGCGAGTAGGCCATGGATGAAGTTCTCAATGGTGGTCCGTGGTATGTTGGCGGTTACATTGTGGGAATGGACAAATGGACTACATCTTTCAATCCCAATTCCTTCAAGGGGATCAGTGCTCCTGTTTGGATACGCCTCCCCTGTTTGCCTCTCTACTGTTGGGACGAAGAGAATATTGCCTGTATTGCGTCCAGAATAGGAGTTCCTATGTATGTGGACGGAAACTCTTTCAGATGAGGTAAACGTGAGTTTGCCCGGGTTTGTGTAAGATTGAATCTTGAAAACAGCCTTCCTAAGGGTGTTTGGATTGATGGCATTGCTGGTAGGTTCTTTCAACAAGTTGAATATGAAAAGATTGATATGCTCTGTTTTCATTGCGGGAAGGTGGGGCATGATAAAAATAACAGAGTTAATAAAGGTCGAGGCGGCTGCGAATGTTAACAACAAGCAGGATAATGTTTGTATTCCCGCAGTTGAGAAGATTTCAGAACCAGAGTATGGTCCGTGGATTCACGTCCGTTTCAAGAGCAGAATGTATAAAAATAACAGAGTTAATAAAGAAGGTAGATCCACTAGAATGGAGAAGATAGTAGACAACAAGGTAGTGATGCCTGAGCATCAGGAGAATTTGGAAGAATTTTCTGATAGAGCTCAGGAAGATGTACAAAAGGTTGCGGGCTCTGCTGTGGGTAACAATGTTAAAGATAAAGAGGTTAGTGTTGCAGTGGAAAATAAATTTCAGATTCTTATGAATGAGGCTGATGAGGTTGAAGAGGGAGAAGTGACGAATCAACACTTTGGTGGTAATTCTGATGATTCAAGATTGCTAGATGGTAATGTGAATGAACAGTTACCTGCTGAAGTATCCAAATGTAACTCGGCTAAGATCAAGTTGGCTAAGGAGCTAAGATCTTTGGGTCTGGTTGAGCCTGAACATAGGAAGAAGAGAAGGGATGGGAAGGGGAATTCTACTAGCGGGGACGGTTCCCCTCATGTTGATTAATGTCGACTTTATTGTTCTGGAACTGCAGGGGAGCCAGAAAGAGAGAGGCTTCGCTGTATTTGAAGGAAGTTGTTCGGGATAATAAGGCGGTGTTTATTGGGATTCTGGAAACGAAGCTGTGTAACATTGACAGAAGTGATGTGGATTGCCTTACTGGGAGAGATTGGGATTTTTTTCATCACCCTGCAGTGGGTCTATCTGGAGGTATTCTGAATATTTGGAACAGAAATAAAGTTTCTTTTGTTGTTCAAGAAAGTTCGTCTCAAGCTGTTATTGGAGTTCTTTCCATTCCTTCGATGGGAGATTGGAAAGTGGCAACTATTTATGGGAGTAGATGCTGTGTGGAGAGAAGGGATCTTTGGAATATTCTTGAGAAGAACATGATAAGCCCGGGTCCTTCTTTAATAGGGGGAGACTTCAATTGTATTCTTAAGAAGGAAGAGAAGAAGGGTGGGAAGAGATTCATCTTCTCTAGGGGACCTAGAGAGATGAAAAGTTTTATGACTAATGCTGATTTTTATGATGCAGGTTTTATTGGACCAAGTTATACTTGTTGTAACAATAAAGATGGTTCCTCAAGGATCTGGGAGAGGCTTGACAGATGCTTGGTAAATTCAGCTTCCTTACAATTGGTTCCTGCTGGTAGAGCTAGGCATCTAGCTCGTGTAGCGTCGGATCATTGTCCGATTGTATATAGGATGGAAGCTTGGCATTCTGCTAAGGAGAAGCATTTCAGATTTGAGGATACTTGGAGATCCTATCCAGCTGCAAGAGGTATAGTTCACAAATCGTGGTTGAAAAAGGACTTTGGGGATGAGGTGGAAATTCTTCATAGTAAGATTAGAAGGACTTTGAAGGCCCAATTCTTTTGGAATAGGAATAAATGCATTGATCTGTGCAAGCTTAGAGATGAGTTAAAGAAGGATATTCTTGACTTACAAACCAAAGAGATGTCTGAAGTTGGTTTCTCGGTTGATGACATGTGTCTTGTTAGGCACAAGGTACATGAATTGAATGTTACTTTGAAGAGGCTTGCAACTTGGTGGAACCAGATTAGGTGGATTGAGGAAGGAGATATGAATTCTGCTTTCTTTCATAATTATGCTTCTGCTAAGAGGAGTGCAAATCTGATTAAGCATATTAAGAGTGCTGACAATCGGATTGTGGATGAGGAAGAGCATATTTTTTTGCATTTTTTTGAAGATAAGTGGAAACACAGGAGCTGTATTCTAAAGGATTGGCCGGAGATTGAAGCATCACAGAGGCTCACTGAACTGGATCGGCAAATGTTAAACATGGAATTTGTTATGGAAGAATGCAGGGTAGCTGTTTTCCAGCAAGGTAACAACAAATCCTCAGGGTCTGACGGTGTCACTTCCTCTTTCTTTAAGAGCTATTGGAATATTGTTGGAGAGACAACTTGGCTTGCAATCAAGAAGTTCTTTTGCACTGGCATTATGCACGAAAATTGGAAAGACACATTGATCGTGTTGATCCCCAAGGTTAATAATCCAATTATCCCTTCAAATTTCCGCCCCATTAGCCTTTGTCAAACTATCTACAAGATCGTTGCCTCTATGCTAGTGAATAGACTAAAGAATCTTATGTATAAGATGATCTCAGAGGAGCAGCTTGCTTTCATTCCAGGGAGATCGATGTTTGAGCATTGCATTCTTGCCCAAGAGATTTTCCATAAGTTTAAAACCTCAAGGAATAAGAAAGGATTAATGGCAGTTAATGTTGATATGGAACAGGCATATGACAGCATGGGATGGAGTACTTTGCAGCAAATTCTTGTATGGTATGGATTCCCTTCGGGTTTTTCTGGTTTTGTTATGGAGTGTGTGTTGAATGTGAGGTTTGCTATTATCCTGAATGGGAAGAAGCTTAAATGGATTGATGCATGTAGTGGATTTCGTCAAGGGTGTCCGTTGTCACCTTATTTGTTCATTATGTGTGCTCAACTCCT